GTGTGTGTGTGTGTGTGTGTGTGTGTGTGTGTGTGTACCTGGTTTTTGTTAGGATTAACTTTAGACCAGTAATGGTTAATTTTAGGAAAAATGTCTGGGTTAGGCATAAATACAGTTACAAAAATGAATTGAAGTCGATACAAAGTCATCAGTTTGATGCAAATACGTGTGTGTGTATTTGTGTGGACATAGTTTGACATTATACTATGCTCTTGAGGACACTTTGTTCTTGTGTGGACATTTGCCTGGTCCACTCGATGAAAAATCCCTGTGGACCAGGGGTTAGAGTTAAGGCTACGAGTTAGTGAAGTGAGCCACGCCCACTGTTAGCATCTGTGACGTCGTGGAGGAGCAAAGAGGTGACCAAACAGGGCACAGGCTCAGAGTTTTCAGAGCAACTATTAGATTAACAGCAACTGGACATGTGTCACAAAATATCTGTAAGACTTTAAAAATAAAATAATATATTTGTTAATTATGCTAATTAATTTAACAGCAGCCTCGGCAGTTAATGAGGCAGTAAGTAAGTAAATTTTTATTTATAAAGCTCTTATCGTAGAAATAACTTCACAAAGTGCTGAACAGTACAAAAATACAGAATACAACAATGCAATAAAAACATCATGGAGCCATCCAGGCTGCAGAGGCTGCATCTCTGCCTGATGATTTCACTGATAAGGTGCTAACTTCTTCTTTCCACTCTTCAGAGACGTCCTTCTCCACCTCACTCTGTCCTTTTTTCTCACAACTACCTCCACATGCTGTCAAACTGAGGATTCTCATAAATTTGGTTCTCAGCACATTTTCAGATTCCTGCAGTTTAAGCTACATTTTGAAACCTGATCTTTTCATGAGCACAACCAGCAATATGCCTGAGCAGGATAACCATTAATATTTGTTTTGAATCCTATTTGAGGATTTTTGTCATTATGAAGAGAAAACCTAAACAATTCAGATATTAAGATTAACCAGCTGAGGGGAAACAAAGCTTTTCCAGCATACAGGGGAAACTTACAAAATATAAACACTTTTTTGCTCCAAATCATGTTTTTCCACGTTTTCACTAAGAGTWTAATTTCATCTCAATGCATTTCTTTCTGTGTGCAACAAAGTGAAACTTCTCAGTCAGTGGAACAGGATCCAGTTCCACAGCTGGAAAATGTTGTGGCAGCTCAACACAGGTGGGCTCAGTTCTGCCTTCACCTGCTGAGTGAAGTCAGTCTTTGTCCCTGATTTTGATTCATTGTTCTCCCAGTTCAAAAGAACGTAAGGCATTGTTTTTTCCCCTTGTAATACTACGTGGCTTCTGCAGCCTACCTGTTTTGCTGAGGAGGCGTTCTGATTGGCAGCTCTGGATTTATTGCTCAGCAGGATTTGCATAAAGGAGTCACGAGACTTCCAAGCTTTGTGAAAGTCAGGAAGAGGAAAGTTTCCTGTTTACCTCAGAACAGGTTTGGGCTGTCGTTGACGAGGAAGGAGTGTGAAGTAAAGGTGAGGATGATCCTTTATTCTCTAAATATGTTTAATYTAAGTAAAGAAGATGCCAGAAAACAGTGAAGCTTTAGTTTTCCACCTCAGAGGACACAGCTGACATGGTTTCAGAGCAGCTTTTCTGACCTTTGTACCAGTTTATGTGTGATCGTCTTACATTCCAGCCAGTGTGAGCAGGTAGGGCTGTAGTTTTACACGAGTGACAAACATGAACCAGTCCTGGATCCACAGTTCCTGTTAGAAGCAGTTCTCAGTCTTGTTCTGTTCAGAGTATTTTCCTGTTCGTGTCTCTGTTAGATCCTGGTTTTCACTTCGCTGCATCGTGAGCCACACACTTCCCTCCAGCCCAACATGGACTCCCTCAAAGGTAGGACCGGGTCCCTGCTGTGTTCTGTTTATTTCCCTGTCAAGTGGAAGCTGATGGTTGTCTCGGCTCGTTCTCTCAGGGCTGTGCCCCCATCCCAGTATTCCTGTGGAGACGGATGAGAGGATGGCAGCTCCCAGTCCTGACGCGTCTTGGCTCCCCTCCTGTCACATCTGCAGTGRACCTGAAGAGACCAGCAGGACAGCAGAGAGACACTGTGAGCCTCTGAGGGGTTCAGGCCTCAGTAGGTGCCATGAGGACCGTTACTGGCAGGAAGCAGCAGCAGCACACCCAGGACCCGCAAGGCCCCCCTACTCGGCAGATGTTCAGTCACATTTGTACAGACAGGAGCTGAGGAGTGGTCCCAGTTCTGGAAGCCCTTCAAACTGTGTCTGGGGTCACTCCATGGAACAGGCAGAGTCCCTGGAGCCCCCCCTGCCGCTCATGTCGAACTACAACTACGACCCGTGTCCAGCACCACGACACAGACYTCACCTGCCAGGTGAGTGCACCTGCTGATGAGGGTCAAATGTCTGTAAAGTTTTCAAACCGTTTGTGGAAATGTCAATCAGTGCAGCTGAATTATTAACAACAGTCCATGTTTTGTCTGAGACTCACTTTCTAGTCTGTGTTTCTGTCTGCCTGTTATATTAGGAGTGACAGAAACAGTCTATGGTGAGCAGCTTTAAAGTGGACCAATTATGGGTCCTAGAAATGTTTATGGTATGTCTGTGGGCTATCCAGACCATGTTCATTCAATTTAATGCACTAAATAATTCTCAGATAATAAAATTTCCCATTTTCTAGTTCTGCTGCTCTGACTTCTGTTCAGAAGAGCTGTTTATGTTAATGAGCTCTGTTGGTAACGCC